GGTTGTAAATCTTAGATCGAGCTGAAGACCTGAATATAATATTCGGCCTGTAGAAAACATGTGAAAAGTCTTATATTCATAGAAGATTTGAAAATGGTCTTTCGTCCATAGAAGTCTAGTAGCCCCCTTCTACTCATAAAAATCTGTAAAAGCTCTTTAACGACCTATAGGTCTTCTTTAGATAATGAACCTCCGGATGTTTTTCTAGACCTCTAAAGGGTATTGTGGCTCTTGGACAGGTCAGGTCATACTTTATAGCAGTAATTTGATGAATAATTTTTGAAAAAAATTGTATGAAATGTTAAAAAATTAATTTCTTTGTAAACCACCTTTGCTAATCAAAAACCTAACAGCAATAAAATAAACTTAAAAATTATATTTAACTTAAAAATGTTTCTCAAATAAAATTTAAGAAATCTACAACAAATCTTACAAATTCCTTTTTTTCAAATTGATTTCCAATTTCATTTAGAACTTTTTGTGTAATCTGATATGATTTCACAATGATATGTCTATGATATAGGTTTTGTTACTATTTTAGTTTCATTTTTGTTTTGCAATTTGTAAACTTTTTTTTGTAAATTTCTTAAAATCCATTTGCGAGCACTTAATGCTAATACTTATTACCTATTAATAATGATCGATTTTTCGATCATTATTTTTGTTCATTGATATGATATGATTTCTGGTTTTCAGTTTTTGTTGTTGTTATTTTTGTTCTTAAATTCTATATTTCTTTGGTTTGTTTAGCTTGTTCGGTTACCTTCTTCTTCTTGTGGTTAAAGTAAGACTAACTTTGGTTTTAATGTTATTTGAGATTCTGTTACTGATTCCATTCATGGTGAATGTAATATACAAAAGTAAATTTAATATGGCAAGATAGCATTTTTTTTCACGGGGTAATAATGTTGGTTTTCAACATTATTGATAATTGTGGTAAGGAGGAGATTGTTTTTAAAATGAATCATTTGAAATGTGATATAATCTGGAACTTTTAAAATAAATTAATGAATATATAAATTCAAAAAAAGCATGAAAACAATTCTTAGAAAACATTTTCATAATTTACGCCAGTATCTACTTACGATTAAATTTCTGACTTCATGGAACATCATTAAAATAAATTATTTTGAAGTATAATTAGCAAAATAATAATATCGCGTATACGCTATACCGTCGCTTTCGTCGTTCAAGGAATTAGTATTTTTATTGTATAACACCTTTGGCGAAAGCTTTTATATAGTTTTTTCATATAATTTTCGATTATAATCGAGGAAAAATGTGAAATAAAGTCTAATATAAATATTTTTCCCAAAAAAGGAATGACCCTTTTATCAGGCGTATGATTAATAATTTAAAATAATAAAATTGCTTATACGCAAGACAAGACTAATACTGAAGGTTGTTCTTCCAAAAAATAGTATAGTGACAGTGACAGTAGAAGTGACACGCATTTTCTAGCTTATAATAAGTTGAGGTTTGCTATTCGGAACTCCATTTATGTTGGGTATATAAAAAATGTTTAAAACTTTTCCTTAGCTTTTTTACTATTCTCTATCTCTCTCTATTACTTAAATATAATAATATCTGTAAAATGGCTTTATGAAAGCAACCAGTTTCTATTGATATCTTCCAAAGAATGTATAATTCTTGCTCGAATCGCTGTATGTCATTCACTGACAAAACAAATTGGCATATTACAGACTAATTGCAATAAATATCTTGGGTAAAAATCCTCAAAATAGGCGAGTTCATGATTCCAGACAAATATGTCCCAACAATCTGAATGACACAGTTTTAGTATGGAATATTCATAGAGAATGTTGCACAAGTTCGGTAGCTGGTTTACATGACTTAACGACTCTCTCCATCCACAATATGAAAACATCTTCTATATGCTTTCTCTTATTAAATTTTCTATTTCACAGACTCCATGATTAACGTGAATTATTACGTTTTTCTCAACAACCAAAAATGGAGAAACATAAAAAAATTGTGGGATATTTTATTCAAAATAAACGAAGCAATCCCTTACACAGGAATGTTGTACCAATGTGAAGTCCTTATGAAACGCATTCGAAAAATAAAAGCCTATTCGAATTATGATATCGGTTAATACTCAGAGATCCACAAACTACATTTTGGATTTGTATTGTAGTCGCTCTACGACCGTCTCCTCCTAAAAAACTTGTTCCAGCCTTGTTCTCGGCTAATTACATCGAAATAGTTGAAATATTTTAAAATATGTACAGGGGTCTGCAATATCGAATATTGTTACGTCTTCGTATTTTTTCAATAGAAGACTTCCAAGAAATTCCCAAGTTTTGTGGTTTTAAATCTGAAGTTTTTTTTAACAAATCCCTTTCAGACAATTTGAAGTCGACCTGGCTGCAGCGGCGCATTAATACCTCTCGATTTCATCCAAGTTTTGCACTTCGGAATATTTATTTTCCCAAACATTAATTCTGTTAAAAAGTTAGGGATCGATTTACTTCTTCTCCACACCATGTACGAATGGTGAATTTAGGGAATCTATGGTCTACAGATCCGACACAATGCATGAAGCCTTAGCAAGTCTGTCTAACTGAGCCCTTGTAAAATGGTTTTGAAGTAAGCCCCTCGAAGACAAAAATGGTTCTCTTTACTGTGAAACGTAAGATCCGAACTTTACCTTGGATGGTGTGACCTAATATCTCTGTATAGAAGCCAAAAACATAAGTACCATCCTCGACCTAAAAATTGGAGCAGCGCACTAATATCACTTTACGCATGCAAGAACTCCATAGGAAATGGCTGAGGATTAAAATCAGAAGTCGTACACTGTCTGTATATATCAGTGGTTCTGCCCATACTAACTTATGGATATCACTTCAAACTGTCTTAAACAAAATCCTAAATATCCAACCATTGGACCCTTTAGTTTAGTTCCTGGCATCGATATGTGCTCTGAGACTCAGAGAAACAGGAAAGTAGTTCGTTGTTGGAGATCAAACTCACTGTAGGGATTAGACCACATTCAAATGTCATATCAATAGAGTGGATTTGTGCCGAGTAATGTCCAGCTCTAGACAACAGATGAAAACATTGACTGTATGGAAAATATAAAATTAATAATCTAACATTCTTCATCGGAATAGATATCATAATAATACTTAGCTTTGCCAAACATCTGACTTCTGTCTTCGCTTTTTTAGGCACTAAGGATGAGCACAATTGACCGAAGGTCTCCGAGTGAAAGTAGCTGCTAGACATTTGTTGGCTGAACATATCACCTAAACAATAGACTATATATGTTGATGAACACTGATATCTCTCCCATAGACCGCCACAACTTTTGAAAATTCAATACAAAATTGGCGAGTGGAACCGTATAACCGTATTGATTTTTAAATTTCTGCGGATTTTACCAAAAACAATAGGGATCTTCTTTGACCCGAACCGAACTTACATGCAAAATTTTGCTACGATTGGTCCATAACTGTGGCCTGTAGTGTGTTCACAAATAATAATGGACAGACAGAGACACATATCTATGATACGTCTGATATGACAATATTTCGCGGCTTCTTAAAGCATTTTCCTCGGCCATAGGCAGTAATTCTCCAGGCTTAAGCAAACAGAATTAGCATACAAAAGTCCAGATAAGCTTTTCCAACATATTTAATATGTGCCGGCAAAATCGAAACTGATTTTTAAACTGTTACATATGTAAACACAAACAGTTGATTGCCTTAATATTTAAAGCAAAAAGCATTTATTAAATGCCCTAGGTTGCTACCTGATTAACATTTAACATTGATTATTTGAATACCTACGGGCCCGATAATCTTTGCTGGCTCAGATGTAACTCCCATATACTAATAATAATTTTTGGCATTCCGATGTATACGTCTACATTAGGCTTTGTATTCCCTATGAATGGAAACGATCATCTCTATTCGCTGGGGCGTATGATTTATACCGACGGATTTATATTATGTATACGCTTCCAATACCCGTAGGACATTTCTTATTGGTTTTTAAAAGTGATTTCAGATTGAATTTAAAAAGAATCTCTTCCTTACACAAAATGAAAATATAAATCTCGGAAAAAATAAATAATTCACTAGTCAACTCATAAAACTATTCTACTTAAATATGTATACTTTTGCTCTCTTCATCTACAAATATACAATATATATATATATATATATATATATATTCAATATATATTCAATATATATATATATTCAAATATATATTCAATATTGATATGTAAACAGAAAAAACACATAACTGTAAATATGTATGTATGTGTGCCACGTAAGCTTGTCGCATTTGATGTACATATTATTATTATTTGATATGCATTTTAATATATATGTATGTAGTTGATGTGTAATACTAAAGCCAAAAAAACAAAAACATATAAATTTGTCACACATTATGTATGTATGTGAATCAAATGCATTTGTTTCCTTCTCTATATAAATATATTTTTTATATATGTATTATACCTATATATATATATATTTAGTTTGCCTAAAAGTATGCCTTAAAAATCTAATGATATGTTTGTGATAATGGTTGTTGCTTTCAAGGGGTTGGTTTTTTGCCTTAAAATTAATTTTTCTTTTAATTGATATAGCCTATATATAAATAACTTAATATCTTTGGTTGTTTGTATATTTATAAGAAAAAAAAATATTGGAATAGGAGAGTAGAATAAATTTTCGAGAGTGGGGGTGGAAATTTTTGTATAGTTTTTTGTCATTGGTGTATAATACATTTTTATATAAAAAAGTGTACTTTTTTTAAAGTTCATTTTTTAAAAATTAACTATTTATATTTTTTTAAGATTTTTTAACTATGTTATAGTGTAATAGAACCACTTGTTGTTTTTAATTTTTCTTATGATTTTTTTCATTATCTTTAGTTTAACATTAACATTTTTTGTAACTGAAATTGAAAAAAGTTTTAACAAAAACATTTTCTTTTTAACTATAAAACGCCTATTTTTTGTTGTTTTTTTATATTTTTTATGATAGTTTTTTTTTTTAACGGAATTTCAATGCTAAACGATCAATAAAATAGAAACAAAAATAAATTACCGCTAATTTTGTATAAGACAACAGTTTAAAATCCTTGTCTGAAGGGATTTGCTGGACCACTTGGTGCGGGGGCCGGCTGTTGTTGTTGCTGCTGCTGTTGCTGTTGAAAGGGATTTGCCATTCTTTGCTGAGGAAGATGTCTACCATCTGAGCTAGGTTGTTGTTGCTGTTGATACGCCATGCCACCCTGCTCCTGATAACCCGGCTGATATGATTGTTGATATTGTGAATCCTGCTGATAACCAGATCCTCCACCTCCGCCACCTTGTTGCTGATAGCCCCCACCCTGAGCCGATTGATAATCATAATTGCCCGCCTCATCCAAATTCGTTTCCTGCTCCTGCTGATATTGTTGCCCATACTCCAGATGATTCTTAAATTCACCATCGACAGGCTGTTGATCCTGCATAACATACGTCTGATACTCCTTATTCGGTGGATCTTGCATTAGAATATTAGCCTCATTTTCGAATGGCTTGAAGTCGTAAATATTACGCAGTTTCCGTAATACGGGCACATACAGCAAATTCGAAAATGCAATGAGGAAATTCAATGCGGTAAAACCGATGGCCTCAACCACGCCTCCCGCTATTATGGGACCCACGGCGTAGGCTATCGAATAGGAGATATCGGCAATGGCATAAATCGAACCATATACCGATACATAGCGTACATCCACCAAATAGCCCAGTGTGGGCAGCAGGGCAGTATCGATGAGGGCAATGCCGAAGCATATGACACAGATGGGAATCATGAGCATTTTATAGGAGCTACAGAAGGGTATAATAAAGCACGAGAGACCTTCGAGGGCCAAACCACCGGCCGCCATCAACCATTGGTGTTGAGGGTATTTGCGTGCCATTTTCACCGTGATGACCACACCCAGTACGTGAGGGAAGAACGCCGGCAGCCATACCATACCGATTTTCCAGTTATCTGTGGTCATGTTGTCCTCCATCCACAGCGATATGGTGGGTTCGAGGAAGGCCAGCGCCACATTGGACATTGTCAGGGCGCCGGCACACACTGCAATATAGGGATCCATCAGCAGACGCCATATCGGAATGGTCTCCTGTTTGACTTCTCTACTCTGGGCCAGCTGTTCTTTGACTGGCTTCATAACAAGCAGCAGCATCAGGCCGTCTATTAGACACACCAGGGCCAGGATGAGGAAGGGCACTTCCTTGCCAGCGAACTGATAAAGTGCCCCGCCAAATGGCGGTGCCACCAGACAGCCAAAGCTAATGAAGGCCAAGGCAATGCCGAGGGCCTGAGAACGCTCATTCTCCTCGGTAAAGCGATCGGCAATCATAGCTAAGCCAGAGGTATCAGCAAAAGCTGAACCAGCTCCTTGCAGAGACCGTGCAAAGAACAGGACACTGTAACTGCTGCCGCATGCAAAGACAGCTGTCGAGAAGAACATAATCGTGAGACCGATCATCATCGGGATGTCATAGCCAATCTTGTCGATGAGGCCACCCGAGAAGGGATTAACCATCAGCTGGACAATGGCCTTGGAGGCGAAGAGGATACCCGTGGCCGAGTCCTGGCCATGATGATCATGATGTACGGGCAGTATTAGGCCAGTGCGATTGTCACGTACCGGGGCCTGTGTTACCTCATCCACTTCGAAACTGCCAATTTCTCTCAGATAATCGGGTATTATAGGCACTATCACCATATACAACATATTGTCCAGCAGCAGAGCAATGGACACAATGACCAGGACGAGGCGCCGTTGATTGACCGGTTCCTGGATTTTCTCCCATACTATTTCCTTAACTTCTTTCACTTCGAGGTTGATGACAGGTATGGTAAACGAAGACATTTTGTGGGGTGGTTAGTTTTTTTTAATGAACAAAATTTAACTAATTTTTGTTGTTGTTCTTGGCTTAAATGCTAATTTCTTGTTGTTGTGTTGCTATGGGGTTTGGTTGGTTTTTCCTTCCTTTTTTGTACTTTTCTTGGGTTCGAAAAATTCACAAAAACAAATTTTGAATAATCCAATTCAAAATTGTGTATTTCTTTTTTTTTTGAATTGTATTAACAAAATAGTTTCTATTTTTTTGTTTTAAGTCTCCATGTTTTATTATAACTCCTTTGTTGTTGTTGTTGTTGCAGTTTTTAGTGGGGGGTTTGTTGTTGTTAGTTCAGGCACATATTTTCTTTTGTTTTGTTTAACGTTGCGTTTTCGGGGTTTTTTTTTTTGTTGTTTATCGCCTAGGGTTGTTCTGCTTTCTCGACTCTGGGCTTGGGTGGGGGCATCATCTAGTTGTCTAGCTGTAGTTTAGGCTGCAGAGGATGATGAGTAGACACCTTTGTTTAGTGGCCACAACCTTTAACGACACAGAAACAAGATTTCAATGATTATTTTTTTTGTTTTGTTTGTTTTATGAATATTTTATTTAAAAAATCGTTATTTTCTTTTCTTTTTTATTTATTTAGTTTCTTTTGTTTGTAGTTAAGGCATTTTTGTTGCCATCCCAAATAAGGATAAAATTTTTAGTTTTAAAAATTTTAAGGTTTTTTTTTTATGATTGAAATGTTGTTTCTGTGCAGCGAAAGGTGTATAGCTTTCTTTCTTAAAAACAAATTTTCAAAATGGGTTAATTTTTATATTTAAAACAGTTAATTTTATATTATTTTTTTGAGTTTGCTTTTTTTATTGACAATGATATTTTTTACAAATGTTTTATGATTTTTGAACAGGATTTTGAACATGATGAGTTGGTTTCAATATATTATCATCTACATTTTCACTGTTTTAACATACATTTCAATCATAAAACAAATTATTTGATTATAACTATATACTTTTAAAGGTGTCATTACAAGTAGGAAATGTTTATTTTTATAAAATGGCAGATATTCTGTAGTAATAGCTATACTAAAATACATACAAATGATATCCTTTTGTCCTCCTTCAACATTTGAAATCAAATTTTATTACAAATATGGTATTTGGACCCTACCCTTAATGCTATACGCCATATATGTCGGTCGGGTTAATGTTTTATATGTTAATCATGTACACTAGGGTTATGATTATTTTTATCAAAAATTATTTCCGTTAGCAGGAATAAACTTTTGCCTATTAATGACTAAAATAAGGTTTGTTTCATGTTATTATTAAAAAAATATTTGTTCGTCTTGAAAAAAAATGAAGGCCAAGGCAATAGCCAGGGCATGAGAACGCCCATTCTCCTCGGTAAAGCGATCGGCAATCCATAGCTAAGCCAGAGGTATCAGCAAAAGCTGAACTAGCTCCTTGTAAAGACCGTGCAAATAAAGTCTTTTAATTTCCACGAAAAACCCACATCAACTATAAATAAAATTAGACATTGGTCATAGAAAGATATAAACAGTTATGTAATGTTTATGATTACCGTAGGAAACAAATTACATCTGATTTATATAGAATTCTCTTGTTGGGTTCAGTTATGTAACTACTCCTTTATATTCAAATTTCAATATTTACTGATGCGTGTTCGTCCATCAGAGCAAGTAAACTCGGATAAATGTATGTAGAATTCCTCTGATAAGTTCTGTTGTGGTAGCTACTATTACTTTATATAAAATTTTAAATATTCACTGATGCATTATTCTCATATCAGTAAATAATGGGTTATGACTTTTTACAGCAAAATTGTAATACATTTATGTAAAATTCCCTTGTTGAGTTCTGTAATGGTAGCTATTCATTTTCATTTAAATTTAATTTTTTATTAAAGTATAACAGTAAATTTTTGATTGACATAGGCACAAAATTCCAATAAAAATTTTGTGTAGAATTCCAGTTCTGAGTTCTGTTATGGTAACTATTCCTGTCCATTCAAATTTTTACCGATGTATGCTCTTCCGTTTTTTATCTTTTTTCAGTAATGTTTTGATTGACTGATAAATGTGTGTGGAATTTTCCTTTTAGGTTATGTTATGATAGCTACCCCTTTATATTCAAATTTCAGCAATGTTTGTGATTGCTGTAAGGGAAAAAATAAACTGTAATACGTTTATGCAAAATTCCCACGTTTGGTTCTACCATGGTAGCTATTCCCATCCATTCAAACTTATTTTTTTCCTGGTATGTCTTTTCCCATAAGCTACTTGTTGAGTATGTCATTTTAAAGTAATTTGTATGATAGCGGTAAGAAACGAATAAACTCCTCACGAAGTGGGTTACTTGGAAAAATATTCTTTAAAACAATCAAGTCTTGAAGGCTACCTTAAAAAATGTTCTTAAAAAACCACGTATTATGGGCTACTCAAAACTATATTTTTAAAAAATCTAAATCTTGTGGGCCACTTGAATATATATATTAAAAAACACACCTCTTGAGCAACTTGAATCATTATTCTGTAAAAATTCCATGCCTTCCATTTAAAAAAAAATATTTTTAACACATTCACGCCTTGGATGCTTCTCAAAAAATATTTTTAACAACCCATGCTTTGCAGGCTTTTCAAAAAATATTTTTTTAAAAAATCCAAGCATAGTAAGTTTCTCAAAAAATATTTTAAAAAATCCAAGCCTTCTAGGCTTCTCCAAAATTTTTTTTATGAAGTACACGCCTTGGAGACTTATAAAAAAGTATTTCTAAAAAATCCACATCTTGGTGGCTTCTCAAAAAGTATTTTTAAAATTTTTTAAAAATCCACGGCATATAATAACATACCATATTTTATATAATTTCAGTTATGAGTTCTATTATCGTAGATATGATTTTTTACAGAATACTTATTTAATTGTAAAAGTTTAATACTTTTTGTAAAAGAGAACAATAAGGAAACAATAAAAAGAACACAGTCCTGTCACAAGCGCCATCACGAAGATGCAACACTTCATTGTACGATTCAAAAGTTTTAATTCTACTGTCAAGAGAAAGGAATAGAGGATCACCCTATAGAACCTAAAGCTATGTCGAACTAGCTATTGAACTTCCGTTATATATCGGAGCAAGCTAGAAGGTTTAAGGAAGGCTACGAGCGCTCTAGAAAAATGAGAAACTTTGATTCAATGAAGAAATTCTTCGAAAAAAACCAAGGAATCGTACTCCGCACCTAAGTTCATCAGTTGCCAACACATTGAGTCTTATCGCGTGCTTCGCATTGTCATGGATAAAGTGATCCATGTATCGACTAAATCATCAAATTTCAAATACTTGTTTGTGAAGATTTGAAAAACAACAAGTGAAACAAGTGAATGAAAACAGAATTCAGAAATGGTAAAACTGAGATAAGGGAAGGCGTTTCCAGCCCAGGACCCTTTGTTAGAGTTAAGGCAGCTCCAAAATATGTACAATGCATGCTGGAACTCTCAGGCCTAGCTCTTCTTGCGTTTATTCATCCTCTCCAATGACAACGACAGTATTTAACTTCCTTGAGGGTTTGCTGATCCCTGTAATGTATGTAAGTCTAAAGCTTGAATTATATTACATTGTAAAACAAAATTGAGTACGTTGAAATCGGAGTAAAATAATATCGTTGGAAAATTCCTTATGGGGATGAAAGCCCTTGACGAGTATATTAACCCAGATAACCCCCAGAGATTTTTTTCTTCGAAATCTTAAATTTTAGTTTAAAAACTTTAATATGTGTTTAATAAATTGATAGAATTATAGGAATTCACTGAGATAACGGTTATTTTCCAGCAGTGGTATTGTCATCACTATAGGTAATGTTTTTGATTTAACTCTTAACTTCACGAATAAAGAGCTGTTTATATTTGTTTGCGGCTATTGTAGGTTATCTTTGAGACGACATGCCTTCAGTCAAATCGAATGAGGAATATTTTTGTAAATCATATCCCCCCTTCATCTGAATTCTATTTGCTTATTTTCGTCGTTACTTTCCTGAACCTTAACCTAAAAAACAACAAGACGAAATAAGTTGTCTCTAAATATTCTACAAACAAGTAAATAAGTGTCAGTCGGCGTTGCCGACAGATATATATTCTCACCCTATTCGGAGTTATACACAGGTTTTATTATTCGTTTTATATATGGTATATGTTTCATAAAAGATGTTTCAGTTTTTATGCTGATCAAATATATAATATTGACACTTTTTGTAGGATGTAACAGAGGAGAGGGCAAACGTATCCCACATTCGGAAAAAAATAATAGGTTGTGCAAAATTTGGTTTAAATCGGCCATTCCATTCGTATGATATAGGATTCATAAATAAATGTTTACCCTTTGTGTGGGAGGTACCAGAAAGAGTGGACCAATGGAGGTACCAGAAGGAGTGGACCAATATGTCTCATCTTCAAAGTTGATCTGGGATGTGTCAAGGTAACAGGTTGTGCAAAGTTTGGTTCAAATCGGACATTCCATTAGCCTGATATTTGATTTATAAATATTGAAATTGTTGACCATCCGTGGGGGAGGTGCCAGAAAGAGTGGACAAATATGTTCCATCTTCCGACTTGATCTAGGCTTGGTAAAGATAAAAGGTTGTACAAAGTTTCGTTAAAATCGGATCGCACGTTACTATATAATTAATTTTCAGCACAATTTTGACCATTTTGTGGGGGAGGTACCAGAAGGAGTGGACCAATAATCCTGTAAATCGACTCCAAATTTTCTGAAACGGATTTGGTCCAAAGAAACATGGGGTCTAAAACCAATATTTCGATGAGGCACATTTTCTCCGTATCAAATTGTATATACCCTCATTAGCCATAAGGCTGAGGACTTTAGATATAAGATTTTAGATATTTTCATATGATCATAAGATTTTAGATATTTTAGATATATTTCGAATAAATTGTGCGTTATGAAGATTTGTCGAATTCGACTGAAATATTCACCATACATTTATCTCATTATCCAAAACACACCAATAAAA